GCATATTTTGCAGTATTAAACACGTATTTATACTGATTTCATCAGGCACCGAAAATTATTCAAAAGAACACAAAGAATGGCCTTCTCAGCTGCCATAGTTGCAACTCTTGCGTCATCAGAACAGTTCAACGCACCACCGTTTCCATTTAAAAAACGTTTTGCACCGTTTTGTCTGGGCTGAACGCAGCAACAAATGAGGACAATGGAAGCAATCAAAATCAACAAAAGAGCAATGATATGCAAGTGCTATAACAAGTCTCAGTTAGCTTAACGCAGTACACGTAGCAAGTTTTTTTTTTAAATAATATAATAAATAAAAAGAAAACAGATTGAATAGAAAAAGAATAGAGCAAGCTAGTGTTAGATGTCTTTTTGCTTTTGTTAATTGTATAATAAATGAAAAGAAAACAGATAGAATACAAAAAGATTAGAAAGCAAGTGTTAGTTTTTTTTTGTTGAAAGAAAACAAGCAGCAAATGAATAGAGTGCAAGTCTTTTTTTTTTAAGAATAGAATTAGAATAGAGATTGAGTTGGGCAGGTCTTTCCACCAGGAGGGAACATTTAACATTTTAAAAGTCCGTAAAAGTGATTTTGTGCTTCTTTGGGATGGCACAATAAAACGACGTTCACTTGCAGAACGCAAGCTTCTAGAGGCACACAAGTCTGAAGTAATGAATTTAGGTAAAGGGGTGCGGAGCCAGTGGTGGTTTTGTAGGCAAACATCAATGCCTTGAATTTTATGCGAGCAGCTATTGGTAGTCAGTGCAAAGTGATAAACAGAGGTGTGATGTGCATTCTTTTTGGCTCATTAAAAATTAATCTTGCTGCCGCGTTCTGGATTAATTGTAAAGGTTTGATAGAACTGGCTGGAAGACCTGCCAAGAAAGCATTGCAATAGTCCAGCCTGGACAGAACAAGAGCTTGAACAAGGAGTTGTCAAGCATGTTCCAAAATAAAGGGTCTGATCTTCTTGATGTTGAATAAAGCAAATTTGCAGGACCGGACAGTTTCAGCAATGTGGTCTGAGAAAGTAAGCTGATCATCAATCATAACTCCAAGGTTTCTTGCTGTTTTTGAAGGAGTTATGGTTGATGTGCCTAACTGGATGGTGAAATTGTGATGAAATAAGTAGAATTTTGATTCTTCACATTGATGGCTGCCTCTGTGGCGTGCTCCGCAGTTGTTTTTATGTTTTTGTTAGTTTGTCCTGTCTTTAGTTATATGCCTGCAATCAGTTTCACCAGAGACGAATTGCTGGACATTCGGAAGTACACACCACCCGATATTTCACCGGTTTTCGATTATTCTGATGTTTTGCTGGACATTGTAGTCGGGGGAGCTGCGGCGCTGATCAAGCGCTTTAGGACGCAGAGACGGGGGAAGCGAGGCGGCGCCCTCGTGAAGCTCAGGCAGCACGGATTCAGAACGCCGTTGCCTAGCATCCATCTGGCCAACCTCCGCTCTCTACCCAACAAAACGGACAAACTCCTTCTGCTCTCCCGGACAAATAAGGATTTTTCAAACTCTGCTGCTCTGTGTTTCACGGAAACCTGGCTGAAAGACGCCATTCCGGACAGCGCGTTGAGTCTCCCGGGCTTTCAGCTGTTCAGAGCAGATCGCGACGCAGAATCAACGGGGAAATCACGCGGCGGCGGGACATGCTTTTACATCAATGAGAGGTGGTGTACAGATGTAACTGTGTTAAAGAAGATCTGCTGTTCAGATCTAGAAGTGCTCTTCATTAACGGCAAGCCGTTCTTTTCACCGTGGGAGTTTTGCTCGTTCATTCGTTCACATTCCTCCGCAAGCGCATGTGAGCTCCGCTTTACAGAAACTCGCTGATCAGATCACAGACACAGAACAACAACACCCGGACTCTGTTTTAATCATTCTCCGGGACTTTAATAAAGCCAATCTCTCCCGTGAACTGCCAAAATACAGACAGCACATCACATGTCCCACCAGAGACAGTAATATATTGGATCACTGTTACACCACAATAAAGAATGCATATCACTCTGTCCCACGAGCAGCTTTGGGGCTCTCTGATCACTGCTTGGTTCATCTTATACCGAACTACAGGCAGAAACTGAAATCAGCTAAACCTGTATTAAGGACTGTAAAAAGATGGACTAATGAAGCAGAGCAGGATTTACAAGCTTGTTTTGACCTCACTGATTGGAGCGTCTTTGAAGCTGCTGCCACCGATCTGGACGAGCTCACAGAGACTTTAACATCTTATATCAGTTTCTGTGAAGATATGTGCATTCCTACCAGGACTCATTTAACCTACAACAACGACAAACCATGGTTCACTGCAAAACTCAGACAGCTCCGTGAGGCCAAAGAAGATGCTTACAGGAAGGGTGAAAATGTCTTGTATAAACAGGCTAAATACACACTGGAAAAGGAGATCAGAGTGGCAAAGAGGAATTATTCTGAAAAAATATGGATTCAATTATCTTCCAGTGACTCAGCATCAGTGTGGATAAGTCTGAAAGAAATCACCAACTACAAGACACCATCCCCCAGCACTGTGGAGCTTTGTCAAGCTCCTGAAGTTTGCAGACGACACCACACTCATCGGCCTCATTCAGGACGGTGACGAGTCTGCTTACAGTCAGGAGGTTAAAGAGCTGGCTGTCTGGTGCAGTCTCAACAACCTGGAGCTCAACATGCTCAAAACTGTGGAGATGACCGTGGACTTCAGGAGAAAGCCCCCTGCACTCCCTCCACTCACCATCATGAACAGTTCTGCGACTGCAGTGGAGTCATTCAGGTTCCTGGGCACCACAATCTCTCAGGACCTGAAGTGGGACACTCACATAGGCTCCATTGTTAAAAAGGCCTAGCAGAGGTTGTACTTCCTTCGCCAGCTGAGGAAGTTCAACCTGTCACAGGAGCTGCTGAAACAGTTCTTCTCCGCCATCATTGAATCTGTCCTCTGCACTTCAATAACTGTCTGGTTCAGCTCAGCTACCAAGTCTGACCTCAGAAGACTACAGAGTGTAGTCCGGACTGCTGAGCGAATCATTGGTACAACCCTCCCTTCTCTCCAATAACTGTACTCATCCAGAGTGAGCAAAAGGGCTGGCAAAATCACTATGGACCCCTCACATCCAGCACACTCCCTCTTTGAACTGTTGCCATCTGGTCGACGCTACAGAGCACTGAGCACCAGAACGGCCAGACACAGGAACAGTTTCTTCCCTCAGGCAATCCATCTCATGAACACTTGACAATAACTGTGGAACACACACTATTTATTCACTCATACTCATACTATTTATCTAATACTCATACTCAGTCTACATTCCAATTTGCACATACCGTATTGACCCGAATATAAGACGATGTTTTTTTCTTGGAAATGCATCTGAAAAAACTCGGTTGTCTTATATTCAGGGTCTAGACCAGGGGTGGCGAACTCCGGTCCTGGAGAGCCGCAGCCCTGCACAGTTCAGCTCCAACCCTAATTAAAACTCACCTGCCTGTAGCTTTCTAGTAACCCTTCAGACCTTGATTCTTGTTCAGGTGTGTTTGATTAGGGTTGAAGCAAAACTCTGCAGGGCTGCAGCTCTCCAGGACCGACGTTCGCCACCCCTGCTCTAGACTTTGACATGTCAATAATACACCCACAACAATAGGTGGCGCCAAATACGCATAAAATGAGTGTGCCATGAAATACGTAATGTAATGCGTGTTGTAAAGATCGCGAGTAAAAACAAAGGAAAAAGAAAACCTTACAGCTGCATGAGTCGTGACTGTCATGTTAGCCTGATGGGACCAAACTCCCTTTGTGATTTTAAAACGTAAGACAGTACCCAAATTTGAAGACTACAGTAAGATTTAACTTCTACTGTTAATACGATTTTGGTAGGCTACTATTAGATGGATAGCCTAAATGTCCTAATTCATGTTTTTTTTTAAATGGTATATCAAAAAGTGTATATTTTTTAAATGTGATTGTTACATTTTACCAGCTTTTACCATACTTCCAAAACAAAAATTAAAATAGGAAAAATATGCAATATGAAAATAATTGAAGACAAAATGTGTTCTACTGAGAAAAAAATTAATTTGGTTTTTAAAAAGCCTTTTTCCAAAAGTCACATCTGGAAAAAGGGGGTTCGTCATATAATCAGGGTCGTCTTATATTCGGGCCAATACGGTAATATACCTGTACATACAACTGTCTATTGTTATATACCCGTACATACAATTGTCGATTTGTATATTTTTATTCCTTATTTACTTGTTCTATTTTTTATTTATTTTTATTTTTTATTATCTGTGTTTTTTTTGTTCTGTCACTGTCATTCTGTTACACTGTGGAAGCTTCTGTCACGAAAACAAATTCCTCGTATGTGTAAACATTCCTGGCAATAAAGCTCATTCTGATTCTGATTCTTCTGATTCTGAAATGATGGGTTTGCTGGAACCACAAGCAGTTCTGTTTTGGCATGGTTGAGTTGAAGGTGATGGTCCTTCATCCAGCAAGAAATGTCTGTTAGACAAGCTGAGATGCGAGCAGCTATCGTCGGATCATCAGGATGGAATGAGAGGTAGAGTTGAGTGTCATCAGCATAGCAGTGATATGAAAAGCCATGTTTCTGAATGAAATAACCTAATGATGCCATGTAGACAGAGACGAGAAATGGTCCAAGAACTGAGCCCTGAGGCACCCCAGTAGTTAGATGTTGCGACTTGGACACCTCACCTCTCCAATTTCAAAATTATATTTAAATACATATTTAAATTTAAGGCCAAATGTGTTTCACCATTGTTGTTTTTTTCAGTGGTTTTTAAGTCACAAACTCTGTTTGGCTCAGTAAGCACAAAATATGTTGAACCAATACACAGTTGATGTAACAGCAGCTTTTAGACCATTTTAAACTTCTCCTTGTGTCTGCATGGCAATAGCAGGAAACAAAAAGCAGAAGGGAGAAAGTAAGATTAATTTCCTTTCAGAAAGGCCCTAAAATCAAACTTGTTTCCTAAAACCATGAAGTAACTCTATTTCAAGTAAACGCATCACATTTGATCCTGGCATCTTGTTGAGGTAGGTGTTACATTTTCATAATACAAAGACAGTGACGGCTTTCAAAACAAGCACCACAAAATATTTTACAGAGTGCAATTATGATTAATGATGTATTTTAGTATTAACTTTTAGGATTACTCTCCACTCCTCTAGATGCTATTTTAAAAAAGGAAATGTATTTTCATTATAAGTACTGGTTACCTCAAATGTATATTAATATTATAATACTTTAATAATAATTTATAATTTATGCATTTAGCAGACGCTTTTATCCAAAGTGACTTACAGTGCATTCAGACTATACATTTTTTTTACCAGTATGTTATTATACATTATTTATTAAATAATTCAAATAGTGTAATATTGTAAAAAATAAAAAATAAATGATAGTATTGAGATTACATTTATAATGTGAGTATACAGTCTTTAAGAAAGTAATATTCTTCTAAAATCACTTCAAATGGCTTAATATTCTAACACTATCTACTGGGAAAACACTGTAATCCAAGGGAAAAGGCTGTTAAGCTTTTACTCTCCCATTTAAAACTGTAAAATAAATGGCATATCTGTCACAATAGTAGTTGGACCTTCTTTTCTTTGTTTCAGAAATGACATAGGAATGGCAGAAGCTTGACATTTCCACCAAATTGACTCTGACAGCTCTGAATGTAAAACATTGTCAGCTTGCTTTAGAAGTAATGTGCTGTGATTTTGAGCACACAGTTTTATGCACTGGCTTCTAATAACATATTCAACAATAAATCCTTTGTATTATACACTTAAAATATGAGTCAATGAGAATGTTAAAAATGGTGGCTGTTCTTCTATTCTAAACATAGCCAATGTTTGTTTTATGTCACAGAAATTACACATCCATGGAGCTCACAACAGCGCTGGCATTCATCATGGACACTGACTCCAACCAGACCGTCAGGAATGAGTCGTCGGAGGCCTGTTCACGCGAGAGTGCTCTGAAGGCAACCGTGTTCCCTCTGCTCTACACCGTCCTCTTAATCGTGGGCTTGTCGCTGAACGGCCTGGCAGCATGGGTGTTCCTCCGAATCCCCAGTAAATCTCACTTCATCATCTATCTGAAGAACATTGTGGTGGCCGATATTATCATGATCCTTACCTTCCCCTTCAAGATCCTCGCCGATGCAAACTTAGCATCTGTCGGTGAACGTGTCTTCGTCTGCCGCGTGTCATCCGTGCTCTTCTACCTCACAATGTACATCAGCATCCTGTTCTTCGGCTTGATCAGCATCGATCGCTGTAGAAAAACCATTTGGCCCTTTGTGGGCACCAGCCCTAGACGTCTGCTGCACAGAAAGCTCCTCTCGGGCTTCATATGGACATCGCTGTTGGCTCTTTCGCTGCCCAATGTAATCCTGACAAGCCGTCCCAACACTTCGAGCCGCTTTAAATGCAGTGACCTCAAGACAGAGATGGGACTGAAGTGGCACGAGCTGGTCAACCATGTGTGCCAAGTGATATTTTGGGGAAACCTTGTGACGGTGATAGTATGCTACACACTCATCTCGAAAGAGCTCTACAAGTCTTACGCCCGCACACGAGCTCAACACCAGGCAAGGCCAGGAACGAACGCCCCCCACAAAAAAAGCATTCAAGCCAACGTGTTCCTGGTGTTGGCGGTCTTCTTTGTTTGCTTTGTTCCCTTCCACTTCGCCCGAGTGCCATACACCATTAGCCAGACACGAGTACGCATGTTCAATTGCCAGCAGAAGCTATTTTTCTTCCAGCTGAAAGAGAGCACGCTGTGGCTTTCCTCCCTTAATTCTGTGCTGGATCCTCTCATCTACTTCTTCCTCTGTAAGTCGTTCAGGAGCTCGCTGTTTAAAACCATGCGTCTGTCTCCGGGCCGGTGCAGGGCCCTCAGGGAGCTCGGGACAGACACGGCCAGCACTCCTCAGGGCAACACACAGACATAATGGACAGACTCTCAGACTTTCTGTTTGTTGTGAACACTCTCATCCACATGAAAATGTTAGGGTTCTCTTACACTAATAATCTTACTGACATTAATATAATTATTTGTTTAAACATATTTCATGCTGTAACGGCTACATGGGTGAATCAAATGTTTTAGAGCATATATGGCTTATATCCTTAATTCAAACCTGTCATGACTGGCTAGTGGAAGAATGGGTGCCAGCAGACATTCTGTCTTAAAGTGCACCTGGAAAACTCATACCTCAGAGTCAGGCATTGAGGTAACTATTTATTTTCATAGTTCATTTAGACATTCTACTAACTTTAAGTAATTTTGCAACTACATGTCAACTAGAAGTCAAGCAGCAAGGCCCAGATTTACTGTAAAAGGGATTTTAGAGAATAAAGTAAAATAGTAAAAGAACAAAAATTTATTGAAAATGCATTTGAACTATTTGCCAATAATATTTAAAATATGTGCACTTTCATGATAATTTGCCCGAAAACAGCAATGTTTCTTGTGTTGTCACATTAAAACAAATAACATGGATCAGAAGTATGTATTTTCAAATTTAAAATCAAAATGGCAACTTTTAACCAAAGAAAATAAAAAAGTTCAGCAAACAGCATAGTGTAACACGTCTAGTCTGTTTTCATTGTTTTTAGTTGCTGTTCATTAGTTATCTCATTGGTTCCCTTTGTCAGAGTCATGTGTATACACCTTGAGTTCTCCGTCTCTGTCCGTCTTTGTCTATATCCACCCCCAAAAAAATAAACTTATAAAAGTTAATCTATATAACCATATATTTTTGTTTCGTATGGGTATCCTTCATTCTGACTGTTGAAGGAGAGTAAATGTTCAAATCTAGTGTTATTTCATGTGTTTTTGCTCAATATTATTATAGGGGGAGATCTGATAGTGTTTAATGTTGTATTATTTTGAAATATAAAAGGGTTTCTGGTATGTGTATGTTTGTGGGGTTACTGTTGTGCTGAAGAGTAGAGTCTGTGGTTAGGGTGATGATTGGCCAAACACCAGTAAGAATATATATTACTTTACTTAAAAAGTAATGTTTGTGCACTCTAAATACTTAAGCACGTGCTAGTGATGGGAAGTTCGGATTATTTTGCTGACTTAGATCTTTGAATCTCGTTCATTAAAATGAACAAATCTTTTGTTCAAGCCATTTCGTTTATTTCAGTAGAATATAATTTAATTGTTACATGTTAATAGCCAAATTTCCCAACACATATACTTACGTGATGTTGATCACATTTTGAATGAGGAAAAATCTATAAATATAATTTAACCAAGGCCAAATTATGAGAAACAGAAAGCATTCATTAATTTCTTCAGGCTATGCAGTCTGTTAGTTTACTTCACCACCCCATCTGAGTCATTCGTTCTTTTGTCACGCGTTTTTTTTTTTGGTCAGCTCAGTAACAAACACAAACATTACATATTATTATATGTAGGCATCTTTGCTTTATCAAAGTGATTCTCCCCATCATACAAATAAAATTTAAAGCATTAACTAACTCCTTATTACCACAAAGTTATGGAAAAGAACCTAGCTGACTTAGATCTTTGAATCTCGTTCATTAAAATGAACAAATCTTTTGTTCAAGCCATTTCGTTTATTTCAGTAGAATATAATTTAATTGTTACATGTTAATAGCCAAATTTCCCAACACATATACTTACGTGATGTTGATCACATTTTGAATGAGGAAAAATCTATAAATATAATTTAACCAAGGCCAAATTATGAGAAACAGAAAGCATTCATTAATTTCTTCAGGCTATGCAGTCTGTTAGTTTACTTCACCACCCCATCTGAGTCATTCGTTCTTTTGTCACGCGTTTTTTTTTTTTGTCAGCTCAGTAACAAACACAAACATTACATATTATTATATGTAGGCATCTTTGCTTTATCAAAGTGATTCTCCCCATCATACAAATAAAATTTAAAGCATTAACTAACTCCTTATTACCACAAAGTTATGGAAAAGAACCACCATGACAGAAATTCACAAATGTACAAATTGTAAGAAATAAAAAAGCTACAATTTGAGACATGTGTGTGCATACTGCATGAGTAAATATATTCAATATATTTATACACACGCAGTACCATATCTTATCACATGTGCGTCTATTTGTTATAAAGTGTATTACTGAATATACAATTACATTGTGATATATAAATAAATATATTGTCGCACATTTTTCAACATATGAAATGTAGCAAATCCTTATGTATTATTCAATATATTGTAACATTAGCAAGATATTATTCTATATATTTTCAATATATCATTAAATCAATTAATCTATTGATAAGGAAATATATTTTCTATGTGTAAGGGGCAACTGGTGTGGGATTACAAATTTAAGAATCTTGTATTGTAGCAAACTTCCACAGGATGACTTAAAAGTATTTAAATTAATTAATTATTAATATTAATATATAAAAATGATCTAACTCTAAAGTAAATTCAAATAAAAAATAAAGATCTGAAATATTATTTCTTTTTTTTATTTTCCCATAATAATTATTGTTTTTATTGAAGTTTTTCTCGAAACTTCTGAAATCATTGAATGAATTGTGGGGCGTTAGAGTATCGTGGGACCTTTGAGTCAAAATGTTTGAGATCCACTGATATAATCAAGTCAAATCATCTTTGTTTCTATAACAATTTATACAATGCAGATTGATTCAAAGCAGCTTCACAGAGATAAACAGGAAAATAACAGAATCAATTATGGAACAATCTCAACTATGGAGACAGTTCAGATTCTGCTGTAAAGCCGCTCTGAAAGACAACAGTGACATTATTTAGCTCAAGTTGGTTCAGTGTTGATTCAGCTTAGATCAGTAAGAGTGTGCAATTCATCTATTTTGAAAGAAATTCAATTCAGCTATCAGCGGTTTTACAGAAGGCAGTAATGTCGTTATTCAGCTTCGGTTCATAATCAATCAAATGAATAAATATAGTGAAGGTTGTGGACCTAATAGTCTAAACATTGATCACAAAAATGTAAATAAAAACACACAAGGTTCTAAATGTCCATCAGTGCTAGGGGCAAAAGTACCTTTACTAATCTTTACTAATTCATAAAGGTATGGGGGTTTTTTTGTATGTTTGTTTTTAATTTAAATATAAATATATAACAAATAGAAAAGTAATGTAACTGCATAATATGGTGGATACTAATGTAATGCAGACACAAATGATCATTCTGATTCTAGAGCACAATGCTCCTTCATCAGTAATTTCCTGCTTCTGTTCATTGGAAAGTTATAGTTTTCATTTATTTAAATTGTAGAACAACTACTGTAATTATATATAATTATATATAATATTCATATAAACGTGTGTATTTGTGTGTGACCTAAAAATATAGCAAAAGGCCATATATTCTCATTTTTGTCTGTGCTATTTTTCAAAACATGTATTTGACTGCTGCAACAGGTTGTTGTTGTGTCATATGGTCATTCCTTTTAAAAGGGAATTTCCCAAACTTTCGGTTTCAGGGTTACTGCACATTTTTTAGCATAAAATGTAATGTTGTTTAAGATTTGAATTAATAAAATTAATACAATATTTCTACACCAGAGCAAACACACACAAAATACATATCAGAATCAGAATACATTATGTATTCACTAAACAAGTTTTCACTAAATGAGGTTATGGAAGAATTAGCTATATTTAATCATACATACAGACATGTACACAAACAATATTTATTAAACAAAAACTGTAAAATGGACATCTGTGAGAACTTTGATGATGGCTGGCTGAATAATGCCTCTCTCAAAGTCAACAATATTCCAATATTCCACAGATTTGATTATATTCTCTGAATCTTTACTTCAGAACCTGAGATTGTGAGTGGTATGGAGCATCTGTTTTCTCTGGTAAGTGGGAATGGAAAAGCTTTGCTCAAAGCCTTAAGCCTTTTACACACTGCTCGATTTTAACAATCCTATAAGATCATTGCAAATCACACTGTGCGACATGGATCTGATAAACTTGGGTACGACATGCATGCAGACTGTACGATGATGACACCTATTGACTCGTAGGCTACGATGCACGTTACTATAGAAGAATAAAACATCATCAGCATGTGCTAGTGGTAAACAAAAAGAGCATGATGAATCACATTTTGGCAGTTGTACTTTTTATGTATGCTGAAAAAAAGTAGAAGTGGTGAAAGAGGAAGGGATAAGAGCTTGAGGTAAGCAGTTTTATGTTTTAGCACCGTGTCGCATTGATTTCATGTGGCTTTTTTATTGGCTGGTCAGTAAACGTGGGTCATAGCAGCAAACACACTGTGCGATGATCATGCTGAATTTCTGACACTGTCAGAAAATTATCGTAGGTTATCATTGGTCGCAAGACTGTGACAACAGCCATCTTTGAACCTCTCTCACTGTACGATATAGGACTGAAGTTTAGGAGCCACAATCACAGAAATCGGCGGCAATCTTTCATCTGGGACAGCCGAAAATCATGCAGTGTATAGAAGGCTTTAAAGCTGTGATTACACAAGACTTTAGCCTTTGAAATGTTGGCCACTGCAATGGTTGGGATATGATGTCAGTAAATAAATAACAAACATGAATTTAATTCAAAACATGACGGTATATCATCTATTTGCAGCTTTAAAGTTTGATTTCTTTGAATTCAGTCAAGATATCACCCTGTGAGACATATTGATCTTTCATTAGTTACTCATCTTCATGTCATATAAATTCAAGGGTCAGAAAATTCCCCAAATTTTCCTATGCAGTGAAATGTGATTCCCTTTCATGGGAACTTCAAACTGCGTCCTCTAGGGGTCGCTATGGGGGAATGCCTCATCGTGACCCGAGTCTGAAGCATACATTGAAAAAACACCAGCTCGTTGGCCGGCGACAGCCATGATGTCTCTACCGGTGCGACTATAGTATAAATAGGCGCCAGGAAGCACACATAATTCTCTTCTTCGTCTTCATTGACTGTTTTGTTTGAAGCATGCATCTCTGTGGTAAGAGCGATCTCTATTCATCTCATTACGGCGAGCACTAGCAAAGCGTTTAAGGATGTGTGCATCCGTGTTGACGTTGTTTAACATCTGATGACACAC